TATATATATATATACTGAAACAGCTGGACTAGTGCATCTCAAATTTAACATAAATTAATTATTTTAATATAATATTGTCATTTCTGGATTTTTTTCCCTAATAAATGTCCTTACAGAAAATCTAACTGCTCATATTAAATCAATACTTTTACTTTTAATACTTAAGTACAAAAATTAACAGATACTTTAAAACTTTTACTCAAGTAATATTCCTAAAGGAGACTTTAACTTTTACCAAAGTAATTTTTTGGTAAGATACTTGTACTTTTACTCAAATATCACTTTGTGGTACTTTATACAACTCTGTTTAAATTGGTAATTCTGCAACACGTATGTCTTTCCACTTGCAACAAAATAAAACTGTTTTCATCATTCCCTTCACACTGCACTGCTAACGGCAGTCTCAATGTGGAACTCGTGCTGATGATGCTTTCAGCTACAAATGGACAATCAGGACTTTCATCTTCCACCTGAGAAAACGACTCCATTAAAGAGTTCAAATTTTAGGTAGGAATTTTAAATTCTTGACACAGATTTAATAAAGCATTATTAAACTTGGAGTTAAGAGCAAAAATTTAAAAGGTAAAAAAAAAAGAGTTTCAACTTCATCAAATAAAATATACAGTAGGAAATCTGGCTCGCTCATTTCACTTTTTTGTTCTCTTGAATAAACCGGTGCCGTGTGTTCGAGTACCTTCTCCTGCACCAGCGAGATGTACGGTAAGATGAACAGACAGTCTTTCTTCCTGCAGAGCAGCTCTCTGAGGATGAGGATCTCTGCTACCAGAGTCTTCCCTCCGCTGGTGGGCAGAGAGTAGATCAGGTTCTTCCTCTGCTGGACACAGTCCAGGTTCAGACACAGCTCCTGCCAGTCTGACAAAGAAAAACCAGTCAAAAATGCTCCTTCTCTGCTGCACAGTCAAATAATCTGAAATAAGCCACTCTTTTTTAATCGGGCAATGCATAAACATTGGGCCTCATGCAAGAACTGTTCGTACGCACAGATTTATTCTTAAATTGTGCGTA